TCTCGCCAGTCTGAGCAATCAGACCCCCGTCACCTTTACTTATGTCTGCAAATTTGAGACAATTCTGAACCATAAAGTTGTTATTCTCTTCTTATTCCAAAACCATTTTTAGGGTATAAAAAATATCAAAGCCTTTCTAGGGGTCCCGTATGTCTGTCATTACTGCTACAAAAGCTACATGAATCCCTAGGCACACCAATGCAAAGGTCACTGCTCCATCTGTAATGACCCTGACTGTACTAAGACAAAAACATAGTATGCACCAACTGCAACAGGACGTGCCGTACGCCTTTGTGCTTTTACAAAGAGCCAAGAGCAAGACCTTCGGGCGAAACCTGTAGCAGTACTAGTGATACGATCAAAAGATGTCAAAGATGCAAAAAAACGTACTATGCAGCTAAAAGTAATAGTGTCCCAAGATCACAAGTGAGACATCTGCGGAGAGAAATTAACCTCTGACATACACGATCATCATTGCTACATTCAGCCTCTGCCTCCAACTACGGTTCATACGGAGAAATTTATTTTCTACGACTTTGAAGTGTTGTTGGTCAGCATGACGTGCACAAACCTTTTCTTGTGTCTACCAAAACGCTCACTGGTGTACTGTGGACATCTTATGATTTAAACTGTGTCAGGGACTTTCTCCTGCATTTCAGGAGACCGATGTACCAGAGCGCTATGTTTGTAGCCTATAAAAAATTTTGCGTAGCGAAAATCTCTTTATCCAACACGCTCCAAATGGTTGATCGATCAGTGCGCCCTGAACCCGAGAGCAGGCCGCGGACTAACCACGATCCTCTCTGTGTAGCGTCTTTTATACCCCTTGTCTCCCAAGGTGCGTCCTGTTTGTGGCGTACAACTTCTCCTTTGGATGTTGTAATATAAACCATCTCACCAAGTTACTCAATATTTCAACATGATTTACTTTTGACCTTATTTTCCATAGTTTCTAACTTACTGTTATGCATTCATACTAATTAATAATCAAACAATTAGTTACAATCATATAATCATGTTTCCTTTCATTGTTACATATTTTATTTTGTAATATAGAATCAACTTCAATCATTATACAACTTTTGGTTATTATAATTTCTGTGATGTCCCTAATGTTCAGTTGTTATCTTTTTTCATTACTCGATGGAAAGTCCCTTGTTTTCCACTGTAGGGCCAGACGATGGAAAGCCCTTTGCTTTCCAAAGTGGTTTTAGCGGATCAGCGATCTCAACTCTCTTGACGCTATGTTGACGGCAATGCCAAAATCGAAGGTGTTGCATCATTTGCAAAGAGACAGGTGTCTAAATTGTGTCTCGACAGCTCGTAGGGAAAGTTTGCACAGAGAAGCAATCTGCCTCACACCACCCTGGTCAGCGATCATCTAAGCGTTTAGGAAGGAATGAGAGGATCGGGGTGGAGATGCCTGACTTTCGGACTCCTCCAGCCTGTGGTATGGGCAAGGGTCTGACTGGCTCTCTGCCAGGTCCTCATCCTGACAGAGCCCAGAGGCGGAAGGCGGGAGGAGAACCCTAGTCATAGTGGATTAGGGGAGGGAGGAGGCCTCTGGGTCCTTGGGCACGGGGCTCCAGAATATGGTGATCTGTCTCCTCTTTGGAGCGCCGGGGGCAATGGTGATTCTTGAAAGATGGTAGCGTGATGAAACTGCGTTTTCTGAATGCTGGGCTACTTGTGGTTCCTATAGTCTCTAAAAGTAGAACAGGAGCCAGAGCTTTCAGTTAACAAGTTCCTAGTGATGGGAATTCCGGCTCTTTTTAGAGAATCGGTTCCTTTGGCTCAGCTCACTAAAAAGAGCCGACTCTTTCGGTTCCCAAGTGGCTCCTCAGATTTTTTTGTTGCTTAAATTAATTTATTACCAAATTATGTGTTAAATGAATATCTAATGTAAATACATGCATTATATCAAAAGTTTATTATTTATATGGATTTATTAATATACTTAACATGGAACAGAGGGCTACAAAATAAATTATGAAATACAAAAACAAAGGCCCATCTCAATTAGACAAAAAGCTGCTCGATATGAAATTTTTAATTTTGCACAGTCTACACTCTGCCTTTGAACTGTCTATCACATTAAAATGTGTACACCTTTACTACGTTTCCTGTCACTCATTTTCCTCTCCTTTCCAGTGTGTAGTCTATGTAGTGCCGAGTTGTCTCGCTCTCTCCCACCCACCTGTTCGCGTGCTCACTGTGCCGTGTGTGTCTGTAACCCCTCCCCCCCCCTGCTGCTCAGTGTAGATACACAGACGCCGCCACACATCTTGACCAATCCTATGGAACCAGCTTACATTTTGTTCACCCTCTCCACATTCAAGAGTAGGCTTAAGACGTTCCTCTTTGATAAAGCGTATAGTTAGGGCTCTACTGAGCTCCTCTCTTCCTCTCTCTCTCTCTTTCTGCACTCATTCATGTCCCATTAATGCATGTCACTAACTTCACTTTGTGGTATCTGAAGGCATATAAATTTAAATTACCTTTTGTTATAAGTTCAAATGATATTTTGTCAACATATGCAGTGTTAGTAGTTTATGAGGTTAAATGACGTGATTCTTACTATGGAATATTCATGGTCAATGGCCTCTGACCTACCCTGATAACTCCCGTCTCCCCTTATCACCTTAAACGTCTGGATTGGAACCCGATGTTTCTTTTGATCTTTTGGAGTAAACAACAGACCTATACAAACCTATGTTCGAGGTGAAATAGAGAGAGTTGTTCATTTGGCTGGATGCTCTCCAAGCTCAGCGGTGCTTGTATTGATGTGGAACTTTTTGTAATAAACCCTTATATAAAACCAAGGCGGTGTCAGCGGACTTCTCTTCAAAACATCTTCACATCATCACTACTTAATATACAACAACTTCTTCCCTGGAGTTCTTGTGCTTTCTCGTCTCGCAGGTTCTCATGGATCCTGGTGGAGCCTCCTGCCATGGTCCTGCTTGACTGCCATTGCTAATATCACTGATATTGTTGTTGTTATAATTATTACTACTGTTATTATTACTACAGTTCAGTCAGCTATAACTCACATTTGGAATGTTTATTAAACAGTATAGCATATTTACATTTTGGCGTCTAGGCTCCAACCTCATCACTCCCCGCAGATATGTTTACAGAGTTTATGAGAGTTATGTTTCCATAATCTAGAGAGGTGCTAGTTCTCTGAAGAATTACAAACCCAGTGTGATGAATCAAATTCCTTTGCTCATGCAGCATGGAGGGAAGACCACAGCATAGACGTTCCCCCTCTATACTTCTAGAATGCTTTGCCTCTAGAAGTCTATGTAATATATATAATATATATGTATGTTAATAATGTAAATAATATATGTTAATAAACATTCCAAACCTGAGTGCAACCCCTCTGTACATCCTTGAACAGGACACAGCTGTTGCCCTATCTAGATTCCTTATCTAAATTACATATTGGCATTTTAGGTCTTTCACAATGGTCCTGTGAGTTGACCCGACTGTGACCAACTGCTGACCTGTCATTCCCTACCATAAAACACAGCCCCCTAACCAAACAGTATACAAGATAACTCCTCCACCTAAATCATTCATCTACCGTGTCGTCATCATCTTCTTCATGTTCATCATCATCAGTCACTACTATTAGTGTAGTTGTTGCTACTGTTGTTGCTGTGCACCTGTCTGTCTTTCTGTCTCTCTCTCTCTCTCTCTCTCTCTCTCCAACTGGTCGAGGCAGACGACCACCCACCTAGAGCCGAAGGGTCTGTCCTAGGTTTCTGTCTCTTAAAGTTTTTTCCTTACCCCTGTCGCCAATGCTTGCTCATGGTGGGAACTGTTGGGTCTCTGTAAATAATGTTATAAGGAGTTTGGTCTAGACCTGCTCTATTTGAAAAGTGTCCTGAGATAACTTTTGTTATGAGTTGGCGCTATACAAATAAAATTGAATTGAATTGAATTGAATTAACGGGTGTCTCACATATCAGAGATGTGGTGGGTTTCTTTCGTTGTGAATTCTGCATTTCTTCTTTTTTGCTCGTGTCAGGAACAATGTTGTTGTTATCGATGTTGTTGATGACGGTTTTCGATTTCGATCTTCACGCTTACATGGTGAGTTTCTTTCTTTCTTTGTTTTTTCTTCTTGTTTTTCCATCAAGTTGGGTTTTTTTTACCCATTCTCGGACGCAGACTGGTTATAAGGAATTGTACGGAGTGATTTCCACACCTCCCTTTTTTCTCATTAGTTATTTCATATATTTTTTTTTACATCACACATCGATTACATATCTTACTGTGTGTGTGTGTGTGTGGGTGAGAATGTATGCGTGTGGGTATCTGTGTGTGTGTGTGTGCGCGTGGGGTTGTGTGAATGTAACTTTGTATGAATGTAACTTTTATTTTACCTATTGTTCGATGTTACAATTTAATTGATGCCATGACCCTAAACTATTTCCTATGACTGATTTCATTTAACTCAATGACCCCGCCCCCTTCATTAGGTCAAAGGTCAGCTGTCAAACTCAGTTTGATGAGAAGTGTGGAATATCTCTCTCTCACACTTTATGTCTGAGAATGCAGCACAGTGCTAGGACTTCGATAAACTTTCATGGACAAAAAACAAGATAAGGCTCACTTCACCTTTTTGTTTCGTCCAGAACTCAGCACAATGTGTAATTTTTTTAGTGTTGGATGTGACCTTCAAGCAGGGAGGAAGATACAGTCTCCCCCACTCTTCACTCATTTGACCGTCTCTCGTATTTGTGTACATACTCGATTATTTTCAGTTTCTACCCATCACATTACATTGCATTGTTATTTTAAGCTTAGATTTAGCAAATGATGTTGGATTGAGGGATACACTGTATGCAAGTTTTAATACATTATTACATTTAACTTCTAATCAGATTGCCTTGTATCCATTCCTTTCCTCTACAAACAATACAATACACCTTCACAAGTGTTTTAGGACTCATCTTTTTATCAGTAACACAAACAGTTGCAGACAGTGAAATTAAACAGTTTATTTCAGATGACCTAAGATACAGTTAGGATGTTTCCAGTCACCTTCCTCACCCCTGAACATACTGAACAAGGCAGCAGATGATTTTTGTGATTTTCTGTAGGAAATGTAAAAAAACAAAAAAAAGAAATAATACAGTCCATAAAAAATAGATAGTTCTTTCAGTTTCTTATAAAGAAATAAGTTGCAAATATTGCAGGAAACTATTCATATGAAATTCATATTATATGAAAATATTCTCAATGTAAAAAATATATAAATACATGAAATAAATGAAAAAATACATGTAGGAAATATACAGTTCACACACTTCTTCGTCTTTCGGTCATGAGTAATCGCACCTGAACTGGATGACATGAACATTGACAGATGTGAAATCAACTGAAGATTTTGTGTGAAAATACGACCCATATTATAGAAGTATGGCTTTTAAGAGCATATATAAAACTAGCACTTTACTCCTTGAATATAAAGTACAAAAACACTAAGACATAATTTCTGTAACAATCTCCAGGGGAATCTTCTCAAACGAAGAATTTCAGAAGATAGTAATTCACCTAAAAGCTGTCTCTGTTGCTAATGAAACTTTCAGCTGTCATGTTATTCATCAATGTGGCGTCTGTGTCCTCTTCTTGTATTTCTTCTGAAACTCTTCAAAGACGCTGGAGGTCTTGCGGTCAGGACGCAAACTTAGAGGACAAGACCTCTTCTCAGGATCTGGATACCACGTACCTACGGTGCAATTCATTCATACTAATTAGGACAAACTGTAATCTTAATAATAACCACAAAATAAAAAAATGAGATAAAGTTTTTAATTGTGTTTGTTACCTCTGTCCGTTGTGACAGTTGTGTTGGGGGTTTTGTCTTTTCTTTCATCAAGGCCAGGCTTATCTGAAAAATAAAACAACAAAAATAAATATATTTTCTTAAAACAAAAGCTTTACAGAATACAATAACACATGAATTATAGACAGGAACCCCTCTTTCACATTTTGAAACTACAAGATTCCTGAGTTTGGCTTTCAAACATATTGTCTTATGAGGAATAATTCTGCGTTGAGTCTGTTCATGCATGACGGGTCCAGATAAATCACCACTGTTAACACTAGGTTGCACAATTTTACTGTGCATATTTTAAAGTGGGCTGCAGTTAACCCTAACGAAAACACAACAATTCTTATGAAAACATAGCTATGAATATTATACATCTACTTATATATTTACTTTTTATAGTCATTTACTATCTTTGAATCAGGTTGACAGGCACACAGACGGTAGTTCTCTTGGTAGTGCTCATATACTCGTGGTATTTTAAAAGGCTCCAGGATGACCCTGGAGAAGATCTGGAAGTCTGTACAGTGAAAAGTAATCAATCAATATATCAATTGTAGATCAACTTGTCGTCTGGTGTATGTGTTCCACTGTTCAGCTTGTGGTCCAGAAGATCTTCCTTATCACACTATATATTAACACGACTGCTACGTTTACTTTATAGGTGAATGTGACAAATTCCAAATTTACTTATATTGTTACATAGGTTCTGAAATCAACAAATTCTTTCATTGTTTTTATTTATATTGTTAAACTGCTTTTTATGATTTTAACGATTAATTCTTGTTGAATGTTGTAGCTATAGCTATTATTTCTTAGTGTGGTGTTTTTATTACCTTTTTAACTCATGTGAAGTGTCTTTGAGTTTCTTGAAAAGCACTCTATAAATTATATGTTATTATTATTTATTGTTATTAAAAAGGCCATGCCACTGGTTTTTTAGGGATGCCCGCAAAAAGTCAACTTAACCCTCAATGCAAAGAGTCTTAGTCGATCCACTTTTAAATTAATAATCACATAAAAACAAAAATGGCAAACACCGTGTGGGAGCTGTGCCTTGTCACAGATCTTTTCTCTTCTAACAGAAGGAGTCACTTATTGTGGCGTATACTACTAGCTGCTGCCACTAGCTAGTTAGTGGTCCTACTAGCAGACTGTACCCGCTGGGAGCTCGAGGGGGGGGGTTAACACTACTAGTATAGGAGCAGGACCCAGCAGGGAATACTGCCAAGGAGAGCACAACTGAAATGGGCTCACAGACTTAATGGAGGCCAGCTGATTTACAGCAGCCCCGACCAGGACAATGACCCTGGGGATGAAGACACGGGGGGGTTCAGGCTGGGACAGGAGAGGCATGAAACGGAGGAAGCGGAGCTAGTTTGTAGCGAGTTTATTTATCAGTAACTGTTAATGTTATATGTCATCCATCGTATCAATAAGTCCGTAAGTATTTGGAGGAGGTTTTTATTCTGTGTTGAATTAAATAAACTAAACATTCGGTCTCCTTGCAGGTTGTTCAGACAAATTCAGAATCATTACCGTATAACCGCTTTTAAACAAATTTTAATATGATAAAAAATATTATGACTTACCTGAAACAGGGTCATTGGTTTGTTTTCCCTCGTTGGATCCATCTTTGAAGATGAAGGTTTTGGGTAACACACTGAACTTCAGGATATTGTTCCCCTTGGACATGACACGATAGCTTCCATTGCCATTGTTACTTTTTTCATCAGCAGGCTGTGTGATTGCATCCTTCTTTGTCTTCTCTCTGCATTTGAGTTCGTTAGAGAGGGACCTCCTCTTCTTCAAACTTAGGCAGCGCTTAGTTTTTCGACTCCAGGTGCTCATTTGAGAAGGAACTGGCTGCTTCCTACAGGTGGCGGGGCCACCCGTTTCATCTTTCTTCAGACTCCCCTCAGATAAAGAGGCAATATTGCACTTCTGTTTTTTCAGTTTGCTTCTGTGTCTACTTTTATTTGGTACAAAATGTCTCCATTTTTCGTAAATATATGGTTTGACTGAATGTTCCTCTCTCCGGACAGTTTGGCAAGACTGTTTCTTCAAGGGACTAAGATATACATTGAGAATTTCAGAGGGCCTTGCTACTCCGTAAGACACAGCCCCTGGGGGTGAAACATATCTTTTTCTGCTGCCAATCGAAACACACTTGTTGCGTGATGCTGAGCCAAACAGTACCAGCTGTACCGATGTGACATTTGAGGCTAAAGGTTCACTATCAGTTGCATCAACTACAACCTTGCCACATCTTGAAGGCTGTGAATCCATGGATTTGGTTTTGTTAGATTTCTTAAAGAATGGATGAAATCTATCATGACTGTCCAGTCTCTTCTGCTTTCTTTCAACGGTTTCACATTTACCATTGTGGCTCAAAGTTGTCTGGAGGGCAGCCGTCACACTTATTTCAGTTTCCGATGATGACTCAGCCACATCTGAAGATGTCAACTGAATCTGTCCACACGTCTCTGCAAGGCCTGAAATCTGGCTGGCAACTTTACTTTCAGTGCTGCAGAGAGTTTCAATTTCTTTGCCACCACTGACTGACTGAATTTCAGTGTCACTGCTGATGAGATCTTCGTCTTCTGTGTCACTTAAGCGTAAAATGCATGACAGGGTACTGTTAATGCTTACTTTGGAAATGTTCTTCGGTTCTTTGTCAGACTGATCATTTTCACTCAGCTCAGACTGACTATATGTCATAATTTGATTGTTGATGTTCTCCCCATCCTCCACTTGATTCTCTCCTTCCATGTGAAATTTGCTGGGAGACCTGATCGCACACAGGTTTTCTTCCTGTGTGCGATGTACTGCCATCTCTTCCCCACCAAGGGTCTTGTCAGTGCAATCTTCAACCCTTTGCTCGTTGTTGCACTCGCATTTACTGGAAGATTCCTCTGACGCACAAATGATATGCAACCACTTTGACAGGCAGCAAACCTGTTGTATTGGCAGGACTGAGTTCAGTTTTGAATCATTCAGTGTGACATCCATTGCCTCGGGTAGCTCATCCTGCACAGAGCTATTCATGACTATCTCAGGCTGAGGGTCAGTGTCCATACTTTGTGGCATCTTGCGTTGAGCTTGCTCAAAGATAACCATGGCCTCTTCTGGAGGCAAAACTTTGATTTCAAATGAGTAATACGAGTCACTGGAATCAGCTATTTCTGTTTCATTAGGAGAGGCAGCTTGTGTAGAAGTGGCTTCAACAGCAGAGGCTTGTTTTTCTTCAGCTGAGTCAACTGGTTCAAGCTCAGTTTGCGACAAGTCCTTGTTTGGTACCTCATTTGCAGCCTGTGCAAGAAAGCTGTTGACTGCCCCGTCCACATCTGGCTGGCTGTGACTCTCAAGCACATGAAGATGGTGTTTCCAAGTCCACGGGAAGCCAAACTCATTATCAATGTCATCTAACTGCTCACTGACATTCAACCAAGATGATTTGTAGGGCGGTTCTGAATAAACTTCATTATCTTTGAGGACATGGTAGCTTTGGAGTTGCTTCAGAGAGCTGGGCTTTACTTGTGACAGTATGACAGAATCTTGTGTTGTATGTTTGTGGCAGAATTCCTTAACATCAGTGATCAAACCCCTGTACCAGCCTGTCTTGAGCTTAGTTATCAGGTTTTCAGTGTTGCCATCCCAAAACATGTTTAGTAATCTTAAAGAATCAAACATTGTAGAACTTGGTTTGAGTTTTGACTGGGCTTGTTCATCTTGCTCTATCAACTTAGTTAATGTGACATGTGTCCATGGGAGTGTTGGGACCTGGGAAAGCTCAGGAACGCAGGCCTCTGGCTCAGTTGAATTCTTACTTTGACTCACTTGCACTTCAGGGGTTACTGACTGATTAGCACTTAGCTTAACATGCTGCTCTACTTCCATGTTAATAGCTGGCTCAGATCCTGTGTCCTCTGCACATACATTTTTTTGTGACCGGTGTTGATGCCCAGCTGAATCTGGAGATGATGCAAAGCTACTATCATTGGATCCTGCTGAATGGCTGATAATATATTTGTTGGACCTTGTTTGATTTGGGTTTTCTGGGTGAAGAGGAGATCCATGTCTCAAATAAGGAGCTGTTATTGTTGCCACAGCTGGTGAATTAACATATTTCTCAAGGCTCCTCAAAGACCCATCTGTTGCAGCATGCTCCTTGGATTGATTGATCCAGGAAACAGGGGTATGCTTGCTGGCAACCTGGTAGTATTCCTGTGACAATGGTTGCACAACAGCAACAGCTCTTGTTCCCATGCAACCAGGAGATGAGTGATTCGAGGCGTCATTTGCCTTGACTGATAAGATAGCTTCAAGTATGTCATGATTGTTTGCTACAGATGATTCTGTGGTACTTCTCTGTGATGAATTGCTCTCAGGCATCATCGATTGAGATTCTTTCTCTCCATTTCCATTTCCTGTTGCTTTGACGTAGAAGACATTTGGTACAGAGATTTGCTGTGGTGCAGCCACACTCTGCTGTGTTCTTGACATGTGGGTGGTTTTAGAAAAGGTTAGTGCAAAATTGAGGGCTGAGGATTGTGAGGCATTTGAGTTATAACTTTCAGTGACAGTCCTTGTCACAGGTTGCATATGTTGATTAGACTCCGTCATTCTGACCTCGCTGGCAAGCTGCTTCCCTCTGTAAGTTGAAGTAGTATACGCTGGAGGTTGACCACCTGAGCTAGCAGGGAACGACTTGTGTAGATCCTCCTCGATTCTTGCGATCATCTGGTATTTGAACATTTGCTCTTGTGTATGACCAGCAGGGTTTATGGTGGTCTTGTCCCCTTTGTTTTGCATTGAGTTGATGTGAACTGGGTATTTCTGAGTTCTCACACTAAGAAGGTGCGACAGTTGTTCAGTTGCGGATGAGTTTGTAGTAATGCTGTTGTTCCTGCAAGACTGCAGGGCAGTCTCATTATAACTAGGTGGGGGTAAGGAAGGAATGAATCCTTGCTGATTGCCATTTTGTCTGAGATTCTGGTTATGAGCAGTCTGTCTGCCTCTCTGTGCATTAACTATACCCTGTTGGTTCCAATGTGCTGAGAGGTCTTGCTGAGGGTATGTAGTGTTCGCTATCGTTACATTGGGTGAACTCTGGGTCGATGACTTGAGGAATCCATGGTTGGGATGAAAATTTCTCTGACTGGCAACCTTATGTCCATTAGTGTCCAAATGAAGATTTCGACTTTGAGTATTTGTGTATGAGTTTTGCTGATTGCCAGCTGACACATTCATATAATAAAATCTAGACTCCCCTCCAGCTGGCTGCTGACAAGAAACTGCCTGATAAGGAACTGCTGATGTCTGCCAATTTGACGTCTGTCTGTTAAAGTGTGGTGGCCGTACACCTGTGTTTGATCCTGTGTACTGGTATGAGTTATTTGCTGCCGCAGCTTGCGGATTCCACATTGTGTCCTGTTCAACATGGGTATGCTGAGCGTTTGTTTGTGGGGATCGTGAGGATGGTCCAAGTTGTCGGTACTGTCCATTAATCCATGCACAAGGATGCATTTTTGTCATCTGTGTAGGAGGTTGCAGAGGTGACCTTCCTGAAAAGAAATAGAAAAATGTTAAACGTCGTAAGACTCATTTATGCACTGACAAAATGTTGACTAAAAAATCTATTTGGTGGTCAAACACACCCATGCCCAAACTTATTAAATTTTTTTTCATGCTCAAGTCCCTTCTTTTTCAGCCATGGCATCATGACTCTTGCCTGCTCCTTCTGCTGCCAAGATGCCAAACAACTATACTATTATAGCTCCCTTTTTGAGGTCACAATGACCTTTGATCTTTGGGTCAGAAGTGTCACCATATAATTGTCTGACCATATGTGAAATATGGTCACAATAACCCCTTCTTCCCATCCACCCATCTCACAGCCTCTTCAGCCTGCTGCCGTCGGGGAGGAGACTGCGGAGTCTCCGGGGAAAAACCAGCAGGCTCAAAGACAGTTTCTTACACCAGGTGGTCAAGAGACTCAACTCCCTCCCTGCTCTACCCCCACTCCCCCCTCTGCCCCCTGCCCTACACAACACTACCTCACCTGTTTACATACTTATTTATTTATCCTATTTTTATTTTCATCCTGTAAATACTCAAGTGCCCTTGATTGTTGATTGTTTATTTTATGTCTTGCTGATTGTTTATTTTATGTCTTGTTGATTGTTTATTTTATGTCTTTTCTATTTATAGAAAATGTATTTCTATTTATATTGCCTGTTTGCACTGTGGGCCCGAGAGGACTGAAATTTCATCTGTGCTGTATGTTGTGCATGTATAGCATATTTGACAAATAAAGCTGACTTGACTTGACTTCTGTTCCAGACTGTTCCAAACTGTTTATTTATCTCAGGATTTATTTAATAGTCAAGAAAGTTTCTTTTGTGTCTGAATATATGAATATTTCTAGAAGCGTGAAGAACATTATCAAAAAAACATTCGGCTCTACTAAAGCGTGACCCTTCTCTGCAGCATCTCTGCCTTTATACCATGGTTTTGTAGAAAGAGAGGGAAAATATAAGTTACTTTGTTGCACATCTAAATATACAGAACCTCTTTTAAAACACACATGTTAAAGTTAATGATCGTTTGTTGCAGAACTGCCCTGTAAACTCATTATCAAATGGGCTTTCCTAGCACCGTGTGGTGAAGAGCCCAATCCTAAAGCTACAACAACAGTAGTTTGTGTGTTTTCACAGATGAGAACCTACTTTAAGCAAGACTACACTCCGATAACCTGTTAACCTCATCAGAGGCTACTCTGGGATACAGGGAACTGAATATGTGATAAAGAATCGATTGTGTGCCAGCTGATGTGTTTAGTTTACTCAATAGGAGGAGTATGGAGCTTTGATTTAATGTGCTGATTCTGATGCATGAACAATAGAAACAGAACTAACAGGAACTGTATACACATATCCACTTATCTTACTTCTGTCTCATTGAACTCTAACAATATTATCAGTTATTTTTTAATCAAGCAGTGTGATAGGACATCTGGCCCATCTGAATGTTTTCAACCACAACTGCAGGACAATGAATATGGTTAAAAAAAGGTTATGTCTTAATCATTATAATTCTTCTGTAGCGTGTTCCCTATCTAATAATGCCTATATGACTACCATGCATACTACCTAATATCTCTCATGAACACTAAATCTCTTCTCGAAGTTTCAGCGCATGCGCACGGTGGAGTAAAGTCAGAAATATGTATACCCGTCAACAGCAACTAGACTTGTTTTCTTGCTTTTCTATTGTAGTTGATAGCCCAAAGTCAACATAAAAACACAGTTATGCCCTTTTTGGGTGCACACGCGTGTTTCTCGCCGTTTCCCGTTTGCAGAAACAGCTGGTGAAACATTCTGGGAGTAAAAACCCCCCCAACTCCCTGCCAGGTCGGTGCATCTGCATGAGCTGGCTCTCCGTACCGCCCCGTTACATATGGTTTCAATCACTTCACATGCTGGTTTCACTTCAAACTAAACTTACTTTTAAATCCAGACCAGGTCCAACTTTCCGTGCAACAACATCCGGGAGTCGGAGTAGAAACCTAAATAAACTCTTCTTTCTTTTCCTTTCTTCTTTTGGACGTTCATTCATCCATCGTTTTTTTTTTTTTTTTTGTTTAACTCAATGTGGCGATCCGGACGGGGTTGCCTAATCCTCCCCGGCTGTTGGTGTATTTAGATGTAGACCTCATCCAGCTCGTCCTAAAACACAACCCAGGGTGTCTCCTCCGCTCCGTTAACCCACGAGAGTGACGACACCCGCAGGAGGCGGAGCTCGCCATAGCTGCACGCTGAGGGCGCGCATGCGTTCAGATAGTTTAGAAATTAAGTTAACTAAATCTGACACTTTAAAAGATTGTGCTGATTTTACACCAATTTGGTCAAATCTTTGTTGTCTATACACATAAACTTGATTTGATAACTTAATATAAACTCCAATGAGAGTTTCTCCTGGCTTTAGTTGCTAAAAGTGGGTGGAAACTGAAAGAGAGTTACAAAAAAAAACTCCATTAGAGAATCAATCATAATTCTTCAAGGCAAATTCCACTGTCTACCATATAAAGTTGCTCTGGACATTCATTTTCAATGTTTTAAAAAAGTGCTCTCCGTGTTTCAAAGTCATTTGTTTTATTCTCCGATGTGTTTCACTGTGGAGGAGAAGAGCATTTTTTCCAGGTAAAGCGTGTCCTTTAAGTAATGGTTGGTCCACAGAGGATGCATGAGCAGTGTTTGATGCCTGAGGTGACCACACGGCCAGTCCTATCTCTCCATAGGGCTCTGATACTGATAAATACGACACAATAAAACACTTGTTAACATATGAAAGCATTCTGTCCAAAGTCTGTGATATATTCTACACAAAAAATAAGAGACATCTGGACTCTCTAGTGACGCAGTCACAGCTCAGACTTTTCTATAGTCTGTTAACATGGGTGTGGAAATAAAAATAGGCAAGGCATTCTGCCGCAGGCACATGAACTACAGGCACTGGTGGTGTGGACTGGACATGTTACAGACTATAGTGAGAGACCACAAACTCCCATAGAAGGTACCCAGAAACAGATAACAAAGAGAATTCCCAGCTTCCCTTCCTGTGCAAGGTTTATTTGCAACAAAACAGAATACATGCAAACCGAGTTGTCTCGAGAATCAACGGACTTGGAACAATGCCCTTGTCTGGGCATGTCTGATCATATCTGCCACATCATTCAAAACAATTAGATAGATACTGCATTTAAAAAATTAAAAAATCGTCTGGGATTGCAAGTCTGAATCCATGGTTACCAACCAGTGTAGCTGGTTTATAGGAATAGGAGGTATTTTTCCTAGGAACTTTCTCAGTCTATTCTGAGGTACTGAAATCAAAACATTAACAAAAGCATGCAGAAACACATGTAAAGTGAGTGTTTACATTCACATTATAAATACATACTGTAACCAGATCTTCTGTGTGTGTGTTGCAGTTACCTCAAGTAACCTCAGCTTGGGCTGATCGTGTTTTATCCTATCAAAGTGAGTTCTCTTCATCAACAGGGGTAGGGTACAGAACATATTGGGACTCAAACTCAACTCTGGTCCACTTTAAAAACTAATATTTATATAATATCTTTTGCAAGGGGAAGACTAAGCAACACATTTTGCATCTGTTTCATTGCAGATGCTCCACATACACTATATTCTGGTGCAGTGGTTCTCAACCTGGGGTTTGCCAAATGGTTGTGAAAGATAAATAAAATATTTTGGCAAGCAGCACTGAATGAGACACAGGAAGCAGCTCTCACCAGGCCCATTTATCTCAGTTACATAAGACTGTATTTATTATCTATTATTGTGCTTTTAGGCCTAAAGCTTACACGTTGACTGCGAAGGTGCAAGTTATTTTAATAAATATAAAAACAGGAATTAGTTGTTGTTCTGTCGGGGTACAAAGCAAGAGACCACTGGTCGAGTGAAACAAAATTATTGTCACATGACAGACGTCTTAGAATCTGCTAAATATGTATATTCATATCCAAAAGCCACTATGTTACATTGCCTGTTAGACTAATTATACTGCTGTTTTGTTGACAGTTAACAATAAGTTGATTCGTCAACTATAGATATATAGTCCTTTTCAGGGACATATAATTATGTGCTTATTTTCCTTCTGTTCCAAGAAGTTAAAATGAGTTAATTGCACTTAACTGGACGAGCCTTAAGGTAGTTGTAAAAATTGTAAATGTGCCACTATTTGTTGCCCAGTGGTATGTGATGTTTTGTTGTATTTGTCTTTTCCTCAAGTCTGTTCTTGCTTTGAAACTACACACTGCCTGAGTCACCAATGCACCACAGCATGAGAAAAGCAAGAGAGAGGAGAGCAGTCCCAAATAGGTCTCCGAGGGCTGTCAGGTAGGGTATTGAGTAACTGTCGGGATCTTTACCCCTCCGCCATAGACAGTGGACCATACAGTCGGCTATACACAGCAGGGAGAATACCTAAGAGACGGAAACAAGTTAATGAGTAAAGCAGCAATTAAGTATGCAGAGGAAAAATGACCACATGGCTGACTTACCTGAATCAGGGAAGCAGACAAGAAGGCAATAGTGAAGAGAGGACTGGGCAAAGTGTGGCCTCCTTTCATCAGGTGTATAGTGTGAATGAAGACGAGCTGACCAGGAATCACCAAAAGAACCAGAATCTGAGCAGATCTGTGGTTTGCTCCTGCCATGACAAAGCTGAACATCAGATAGTGTGTGTGTGTGTGTGGGGGGGGATTACGTGATGGGGCAACGTGTTTATTTAAATGTTTTGACCCATAGATCTTTACCTGAACCTAAGAAAGTGCGACAAGGGTTGTAACAGCTCCTACGGTCTTCAGGAACCTCTCTAGGTGAGTAATTCAAATGCAAATTGGTAGAAATACGACTGGACTGTATTGAGACAAGGTTTCCTCCAATACCTGAACAGGAAAGAGAGGATGGGGGAAGGGTCAACGGTAAGATTATTCAAGAAGCTTTATTTATCCCGAGGGAATAGGCCCTATTCACACCCTGGAACATTACATGTCCCCTCCTTACATGCAAATACAGCATGCAAGCATTTCCATTTTTTTTTACACAAAGAATGAAATAACTGTAATGGGATAGTTTTTTGTTTTGTTTTTTAAGTGGGATTGTATGAGGTACTTATCCAAAGTCAGTGTAGACAGAGGCCTAGTTTATGTATAGAAGGGAAATTGATATTCTGATTCCAATTCAGACACACTGTTCCTTGGAGGAAGAATATGTATATTATATATATAACACAGTCTGTGGATGGTATTAAAGATAGGATTGCCTCTGATTGCAAATTCCATGATCACATCGAATGCCTGGCATTAACTCGTCTGCCTGTCTACTGTATACAAAACATTGCCACTAGGGGGAAAATAGCCCAAAAGATTACTTGCTTATTTCCAAGCCTTTTAAGATTCTCCTTTTAGAAAATAGTCAGTTAAGGCTCAGTGAAGGAGCAAGTCGAATTCAGTATCTAGGAGAGGGCTTTTTGAGCAGAAAGTCAGTGAGATTTATTGCCCCATTAAATTCTTTCACATCAGATAATGCAGATTCCTTTGGGGTTTCTCCAGTAGGTACTTTAAAAGTTGTTTTTTTAAGTTAATTTGTTGACAAGAGGTCCAGGCCTTTTTGACTTTTTTGTTACTGCACTCTTCAGAAAACTATTGGTGACGTCCATATTTTATACAGTCTATGGTTCAAACACCTAGCTGCTAAATGTTGGCTTGTGAGGCACACTTTAGACAGCGATGCAGCGACCAACAGACAAACTGATGTTTGTATTGTGGTGTCTGGAGGGGTTATACGTTCAAATGACATCTGGTCAATTATGCAGGATCAGTAGGTCATGAGGCCCAACATCACATCCTGTTGAAATTAAGTTAGGAGCCCCTCAATCTTCCCTTATGACATAAACCTTTAAGTACATCGGTATTAGAAAACAGATATATCTTCCCTATTTTTCTCACAAACAACCGACCTATAAAAAGTCTGTGTTGGACGCATAGGTACAGAGATATCCATTTAGCTGGATGCTCTCCAAGCTCTCGAGTGCTTGTATTGATGCTGGACTTTGTTGTAATAAACCTTTATATACAATCAAGACGGTGTCAGCGGACCTGTCTTCAATACATCTTCACATCATCACTACTTAGTATACAACAGTATGTTTACGAGGAAAGAAACAACTCAATGTATTTTATTTAATGCCAATTTTACAAGAAGACACACATGATTAAGAATTAGCATTAGCTGTTTTGCAAAGTTTATTAGGTTCCTCCTTACTTAACAACTCTCATAATTGCACAATTTTTAAGGGGAACATCTACTGCTTATCTTTGTTGACCACCACCTCCGGATGTGGTCTGAGCAATCGGATCTCAATGTGTCCTCACTATGTCTTTGGGTGCACCTGTACTAAGAGCTGTCCACTTGTGATCGGATCACAGAAGATGCATGCCGGGTGTAAACAGGGCCATATTTGCAAACATTGCATACATGTCACATGCACAATGATTTTTTTTTTTTCTGAGAGGGATGATTACATGTTTTTTTTTTTTTTTTTAGATCTGTATCTGCACAAAAGTGACCCATAAATGCACTTTCAAAAGAGAGCAACTCACCATTTATAACTGGAGCATAAACTAGGATTCCGGCAAGGTTTGGATCTGACACAGTCTTGTCCAGAATAAGTCCTCCAATACTAAAAGAAAAACAAGGAAGAACGCATTTTTAGAAGCTCTACTTATTGTGGTGGTACTACGAAACATTAACGAAAACACAATCTTGGTTCTGTGCAGGAGAACATTTTGAAAGAAGTGCGATGCTGCATTGAGGGAGTTAAAAAACCATACAACCATCCAGTGGTATCCCCTCTACTCTCTCCCTGCTGAATAATGCTAAAAAGTCTCACTGAACATTGAACTTCAAACTATTTTATGAAACTGGTATAAAGAAGCCTTTTTAGAATTTAATCTGTGCATTGACTTCTGATATCAACACCAGAATCCTGCACTAAACTATACTTAATGAACAAAATGTTGAAGTGGTTGAGTCTAATTGGGCATTATAATTAAAAGGAATACAGATAATTCTGAGTAAAAAGAAAAAGACTGCAGGGTCTTTTTTGTTGGAGGAGCAAAGTTCCAGGTTGACATTTCCCTGATGACATGGTTTCATAAATCTTTATTGAGTCAGTTTTTGCTTTTTTTGTGTGTGTCTTGCCTTTTTGTAGCTGTTGTTTTTATTGCTACTGCAGCAGAACCAATCGCTCCTCTGGGACAAATAAAGGTCTTGAATTTGAAGAGAGACATCTTAGAGGTCAAAATAGAGGCTTATTTTATGTTTTTATTTTCTGTTGTACTTAAAACCTTTTATTTTTGCATAACTAGCCGCTATTATCTGATCATCTTATATTCTCTGTCATGTCAAATAGGTTTAATCCATTCTGAGCAGCATTTTCATTGTTTGTCTTGCTAGTTTCTTGATAAGAAAAGCTCTTGTACAGAGATCTCAATGACATTTAATATAATGTTTGACTATGGGGTTGACTGATCAAGTGTGGAATACGGTATATATGTGTATAGTAACATATAGTATGGATGACAATAGAGTTTAAGTCTTGTTCTTTAAACAAAATTATTAAATTCCCCCATTTCTGTACTTTGACAGAGAGTGATGGATTATTTTATTAGTGCTTAATTTTAAAAATCAGATCCTGAACCTTTTAATGCAAAGGATGTACTCAATGTAAATAATCTGAATAAATGTCAGACTGAGGTGGTTTACCTGCTGATGACCATTGCTGTTACGATTGGTTCCCAGCCTGTGCGGAGCAGCATGTGACTGGCTGGATGTTTTGAGGCAATTACCACCCAAAGAGGAATCAGGCACAGAAAGAACATATCCACCAGGTACAACACATAGGGGTACAAATCTGTCAAGAGAAGAGGTCATTATTTATACCTTTATTTTACAACCAGGAATCAGCATAAAACTACCCCTAGGATTCAGATTTTTATGGATGTGTTAGTACCATCTGTTGGCCAAAAGTGTGAACTACATGAGTCCAAGGACGACCAGTATATTATTTTTGTGTGTGTGTGTGTGTGTGTGTGTGTGTGTGTGTGTGTGTGTGTTTTACATATTTGTATTGTATTAAATTGGCCTACCAGACCATCTTGTAGTCGTTATCTCTCTTTACCTATTAAGGAGAAGAACCACTGACTGAAGCAGGCCAGGAAGGCAAGAGTGATGAGATCCCCAAAGCTGGCTGCCATGGGTGTTGCCACGTTGTCAGGGTTGATTCCCAATCGTTTGGAGCCCATGATCACTCCCACCATGATAACACCTAGAGAGAGTTACAGGCAAGGTAAAAGTCTAGGCCAGTGGTTCTCAGCCTTTATTCATGAATGCACCCCCGCTGTGGGGTCAAAGGTCAAAGTCATTAAGTTATCATTTTTTGACATAAGGTATATCTCTATAATAAGTCCAATGTCGAATTTCAACTTGAGAGAGAGGATCTACTTCTTGTCAAACCAAAAAGTGACAGGTACCACGCCCCTTTTCCCTTTTTGTTAAATACAAGTACTCCGCAGCGACTCTAGGGGTAGCTGTTTGACAAAACTGGAAAACTGCATAGTATGCCTTTAAATCTCAGGGTGAACAAAGGACAGAGGTAGCGTCTAAGTACAAAGACTGCAAAGAGACCACCATGCTAAAATAAAAGTTTTACGTTTGTGAAAAAGGCCTCTGTCTGCACCGAGGAAGAGTATGTTGAATGTACAACGTACACAGGCTCCTCCAAAGGAATCTCTGAGAGAAGAATGGTCTTTAGAGCTGCGTGGATCGTCTGGATGTTGGGGGTTTGCGTTCAAGTATGAAGCGGGCGAGCTCTGGTTGTACCAACGGGGTGAGGATGAAAAATAGGATTTGATGAAAAATGTACTGACGCTGACCTCCAACGACTGGGCCATGTTGTGGCGGGTGATGTCCGAATGTCCCTCGGATGAGGATGAGGAGGTACCCTGTAAACAAGTGAGAACAGACCCTTCCACCTATGTACCAGAGTCCAGTGTCGTTTCTAAGGCTGTCTGACAGGCGAAGATATCTGGTTCCAGTCAATGGTTCAAACGCGCCACTATCCGAACATCTAGGGAGAAGCCTCTTGAGGAGGATTCAACTCACAGACACTCGGCCAACGGCTCCATCTGTACCCTCAGCACTGTTTTGGAGGAAACCCTGAGCCCTGCCTCTCCAATGATGTACGACTCGTCATGCTGCACCCCTGGTTTATACGCAGAAGAGACCCAGGATTCGCAGGTCTCACCCTACGATTCCTCTAATCCTGGAGGGGTGATCCAGAGCCCAGCCTCTCCACCACCTCAGAACTCGGTCTGGGTAGACATGGGGGATTCCCTGCCTTCCACTCCTCCACGGCCTGCACCAGAGTTTCCAACCCTCTTGAACCCTGTTTCTTCCCGACTTCCCTGTGGGGTAAGGAAGAACCGGCGGATGAAATCGATGGCCGGCTAATAAAAACAGCCGTGCTACATCTGCTCGCCATCACCGTCAACATGTAACGCAGTGCCAACTGCTACGGATGTCAAATCAGCCACCCCAGAAAGAACATCCGTGTTTGGAGCCGTTAGACGATGTCTACTACAGTACCAACTTTCAAGGGTTGATGAAGATGCTTTACAAGCTTAAATTGATTCCTGAAATTCAGTGTCTGCTGAATATGCACAATCTTCCAACGGATGAAGTTAGAGTCAGGGCCGCTGCAGAGATGATTCTACACAATATGAAAGATGTGGATGAGCCCTCTGACAGCATGTTTGATAATTTAGGTGCCAAAATGATATGTATGCAGCTCAATTCGGTCACCAAGTGTTGGGGTTGGTGATTTTATAAATGAATATTTTGAAAATGAAAACAAAGAAAAAATACAAAAAAATAAAATAAAAGGAGGATTGCCCCACAAGTAGTGTGCACTCTCATTAATCCTGTACTTTTACAACATGTGTTTTATTACTATTCTTTAAATTTTTTATACTCGTTATTAGAACTGAAAGGTTTATCTTGTACTTTTATACCATGTGTTTTTGTATTTGTGACTATGCAAACCTCTAATAAAAATAACTTGTACATCATATTTTTCTCTCATTCAGTTTTCAACATGTCTGAGAAACGTTTCATGAAAAAAGTGTATTACTATCCTAGCCATCCTGGGAGCTTTGGAGGTGTAGAACGGGTACGTAAAAGTGTTGAAGATGAAACATGTGAGAGGGTGGGAGTTGAAAATGTCAAAGACTTTTTATCTGAGCAGGATGCTTACACTCTACTCAAACTGGCCAGAGTACATTTTATTAGAAACAGAGTTCTTGTACCGCGCCCTTTAATCCAATTTCAAGCAGATCTGTGTGATATGCAAGCTTTGTCAGAATATAATGATGGGTATAATTATTTATTAACCGTCATAGACGTGTTTTCCAAGAAGGCTTATGTATGAGCTCTGAAGAGAAAAACAACCGTTGAGGTGGTGAAGGCTTTTGAATCTATTTTTGAAGAAAGTCAGACGCCTGTAAAACTACAAACCGATGCAGGGAAAGAATTTTTTAACAAGAGTTTTAAGGCTTTGATGAAAAAACATGGTATCATTCATTTTTCCACAGCCAGTGACCTCAAGGCCTCTGTGATTGAAAGACTTAATCGTACTTTAAAAAGTAGAATGTGGAGATACTTTATGGCAAACAACACCATGCGCTACCTCAATGTCTTAAAAGCCGCACCATTAGTTTGAACAGCAATTATTTGGTGATTAGAGAGTTTTGAAGATGCTACCAAAGATCCTCATGGGTATTTAATAGTAGATCTCACGCCCACCTGTCCAGAATGGCACAGACTGAGGATGGGTGTACTTCCTCATCAACAGTCAACAGTGTATGTGCCAAATTCATCAGCCTAGACCATCATGTCGCCGTGTATAAAGAAATGCTCCCTTACTCACGGCTCTGTATCACGCTACACCCAAGAAGCGTAAAGACATTCTTAGCCACGGTTCTCCAGGCTTTATTCAGACGCTTTGTGAGATTGCTCTAAATCTTTTGAAGGGTAACATTCCTATGTCTCCATCTCAGTTAAAAAAAACTGAAAAGGCAGAAAAAGGCCATCAGACTTATGGCTAATAAGAATGCCAGTTTAAAAAGCAAATGCCAAAATCTAAAGAAGCAGTCGGGCGGTTTCATTTTACCTCTCCTGCCGGCCGTTGTACCTATGATAGGAAGTCTTTTAGGGGGTATTGCTAGAAGATAATTTATTAAAAGTGTCTTTGAAGAAGATGCAGAAACTGTTTCTCGTCTCACCCCATCAGTTAAAACATCTCACTCAACCGACTGCATCTATCAGAGAAACAGCAGAGGAGGATTTGGATGCTAGAATGACGGATGTATTAAGTGAACAGGGATCGAGTTCTTATGAAAAAATTAAAAAGTACAACGCTTTACTGCAAAGATATTTTGCCTTCTCCAAGCAGGATAAGAGAGATGGACATCGGGTGACTGACTCTACAGCAGGGGCAGGAGAATGATCAGTTTGAGCTTTTAGATATGGGGTGCCGTTTGTAAAGCGGCTCACGCTGAAAATAAGAGCAACATTTTGTCACATTTCGCTTCAAACAATGTTTAAAGAACTGGTATGAATTTTTGAGGGTCACTTATTTGCACTGTTGTATATTAAGTAGCGATGATGTGAAGATGTGTTCCTCATGAACTACTGACCCTACATATGTTGACAAGAATATCACTTGAACTTATAACAACATGTAACTTAAATACAAGGCCTTCAGATACCACAGCACATTTACAACAATATCGTGTGTTTGTTGACATTAGAACAGCTGTAGCAAGAACGGGAGCCGGGAGGAGTAGCGGCAGCCCGCTACACAGTGGAAACTGGCACCGCATTCAGGTAGTTTAGTAATCCACAGTAGTACTGTTGTGTAGGAACCCTGACGTTTTGGCACCTCGAGTACCATTCAACACTAAATGTTTCAATCACAGCCCTACGTTGTATGCGCCTCCCTGTAATTCACTCACTCTGCTCAGGCCGTGACTAGCAGAGACAACCATGTTGCTGCTAATCAGTGTGCTTGCAGCAGCAGGGCATTATAATTCATTACTTGTGTTGTTGTTGTTGTTGTGAATGTACAGCAGGCTGTAGCCAACGATATATAGCGCAATTCATTACTTATGGGAAACGTTTCAAGAGCAACAGGCTTCTCCAAGCAGCACAGCACAGGGAGAAGTGGGTGTAATGCGGAAGACGTAGCCAGTCAAACCAACCAATAGAAACTCTTCTCTCGTCCAGCGTAGGCCCCGCCCATCAAGTGCAGTTGAACTCTCAAGCAAAGAGGACTGATTTGCAAACAAAACTTTAGAACTTGCAAGCAAAGAGGACGCAAAATGGTCGTATGTTTTTACTTACAAACATTAGTTTTGATTGAAGTTGAAGAAATATGTTCTCTCATATTTTTCTTTCAATTGCAACCTGTTCTGTTTTGATCTCAAAAAATGTTTTTGATTGCCACTTACTCTTTTTTGCTCTCAAATCTCTTTTTTGGTTTCAAATCTATTCTATTTGATTGAATAATAAAGGAACAATATTCTCTCCATTTGCGAACATAGCCGGTGGTAGAGGTGCCAAAAGGCTATCACACTTGAACCATTCTCCAGGGTACGTACCCATCATGTAAGATATGGGAGGATCAAAGAGTAAATGTGTTTGGCCTCTGGCTTAAAATTCAAATCTTTTTTGAGTATCGTGAAAATTTAGATAGTTATCAGAATTAATCTGTCTAAAATGACTTTCCATCTCTTTTTTAAGTATGTTTACGCCTGCATAATATCCCCCTCTAAACTTTTTTGTATGTACTTCAGACTCGGTCTCGGGTTCTTTGGGCTGTTTCCTCCAACGAAAGTAGGCTTCATCCTTTGGTATGTTAAACCAAGTGTGTGGATATGAAATCTCTGTCAGGGCAACCTCCCATTCTCCTTCTAAATCAATATGTTGCGCCAAATCCACCCTGTAACTGGCGATCGTGTTATCTTTGAAAACGTCTAAGCTAGCGTTGGAAGGCAGGGTGATGAAAAACCCCTTATCCTTCGGACCGTACATGTTGGAATGATGCACAACTCTCGTGTACACCTAGGTTTTTATATATTTTTTAAAGCGGAAACCTTGACCCAGCTGTTGAATTTTGCAGGCCAGTTTTTCCAGCGTACAAAAGCTTGCTCTTCACCTCTGACGTTACGTCGTTTCAATATGTCCTCTACAGCGTAGACTTTGTCTTTACACGTTTTTACTTTTTGCAACTCTGCCTCGTAAAAAGAACTTTTCAGTTTGTAAACAGGTGGTTCACGAGGAATGCATTAGTGTACTGTGAACACTTCGCCCGCAAAACGGTTCACACCTCTCACTTTTGATATTCTGACTTGATCCCCCTTTTTAAAATTCATTTTTAATTCACTTCTCTGAGTGGCCGAGGATGTACCGTACAGGTTTTGAAACACTTGGAAGGCATTCTCCGTGGTCACTTGCATAGGCTTCATTTTAATACTGCGGTGATAGCTGTGATTATAGCTTTTCAGCAAGTCTTGTAAGACATTGAGGTAGCGCATGGTGTTGTTTGCTGTAAAGTGTCTCCACATTCTACTTTTTAAAGTACGGTTAAATCTTTCAATCACAGAGGCTTTGAAGTCACTGGCTGTGGAAAAATGTATGATACCGTGTTTTTTCATCAAAGACGTAAAACTCTTGTTAAAAAATTCTTTCCCCGCATCGGTTTGTAGTTTTACAGGCGTCTGACTTTCTTCAAAAATAGATTCAAAAGCCTTCACCACCTCAACGGTTGTTTTTCTCTTCAGAGCTCATACATAAGCCTTCTTGGAAAACACGTCTATGACGGTTAATAAATAATTATACCCATCATTATATTCTGACAAAGCTTGCATATCACACAGATCTGCTTGAAATTGGTTTATAGGGCGCGGTACAAAAACTCTGTTTCTAATAAAAATGTACTCTGGCCAGTTTGAGTAGAGTGTAAGCATCCTGCTCAGATAAAAAAGTCTTTGACATTTTCAACTCCCACCCTCTCACATGTTTCATCTTGAACACTTTTACGTAGCCGTTCTACACCTCCAAAGCTCCCAGATGGCTAGGATAGTAATACACTTTTTTCACGAAACGTTTCTCAGATATGTTGAAAACGGAATGAGAGAAAAATAGGATGTACAAGTTATTATATTAGAGGTTTGCATAGTCACAAATACAAAAACACATGTTAAAAAGTACAAGAAAAACTTTTTCAGTTCTAATAACAAGTATAAAAATTGAAAGAATAGTAAAAAACACATGTTAAAAAGGAAGGAGCAAATAGGTAGGAGGGGGTGTTCATTCATCTGTTGTCTCTGTACTTAGTTGCTACCTCTGTCCATTGTTCATCCCTTGGGTCAGAAGGGCCGCAGTACCTTTTGACCTTTTGATTTGGCACAGTAGGGGGCTGGGAAAGGGGCCTGAAAAGGGGCGTGGTACCTGTCACTTTTGAGTGCATAGATCCCTCTCTCTAATGAAGAATCCTGAGATCATGGGTGAAGTAGAGAGGGAGAAACTGGGACGTCAATAAGGTTTGAATGGATTTAATAACGATGTGTGTAGGTGTGTGATGCACTTGTCTCGTATTACGCTCAAAGAAAGCTCAAAGAAAGCTCAAAGACATTGGTTCAAGGTGACAGCAGGTTGTGTTTCTACCTTGCAGCAGTGAAGCCATGAAGGCAGTAGAAACACTGGCTGAACACAGGAGCACTACGTGATTGAAGGGCATTTTTCCCTCTGCCATCCAGCCCAACACAGTCGCCATCAAAGAGGCCAACAGGCCGAGCACCGTGGCTTGTAGCTGTAGAAAGAAGGTGGTAGTAAGAAAATACCCACAAATTGTGGTAAATTGCCATAGAATTCTGCAGATAAACAGGAATGGTTGATTGGAAGATTAAATCCACACAATTAGCCACAGATTTGCTCTGTAATAAAATAATGTACCTGCTTGAGCGCCAGGTTGCCAATGATCAACATCCATTTTTCTCTGGCAGTTTCCATTTTTCCTGCATTCACCTACATATACAAAAGGAAAACATCTACATTTTCATCACAAGTGCGAAAACTCGATTTACTGATATGACTGAAAGCTGCAGAGCTACTACATTTTCTCTGTAAAGACTATGAGTGTATGTGTGACAGATATTTAATCAAGGGTTTAAAACTGATCTGAAAAAGAAGAAGTAATTAATTAATGACAGCATAATCTCAGCACCAAGTCGTGACCTAAAAAAAGGTGACCTTAAAGGATGAGACTGGCGTTATTCTATATTCCATGAACACAAGAAATTGACATCATGATCTCTGATGATACTGCCATTGTGTGTGTCAGATGGGAACAATCAGGAATACAGAGAGGTAATAGCTTACTCATAAATGCCAGCAAGACAAAAGAGATGGTGGAAGACTTTACATCCAGATGTGAACATCCAGGGTTTGGACACTGAGATGGTGACAACTGATAAATACCCAGTAACGATAAACTGAACTTAACAACACATGTCGTGTACACAAAGGGCCAAAGTTGTCTTCATCTACTGAGGAGACTACAGTCTTTTGGTGTGTGGACACTGTAAAAATCTTTCTACAACACTGTTGTGGCATCTGCCAACTTATATGCAGTAGTCTGTTGGGGAACTGGAAGCACGGAGAGGGACAGAAAAGGTCTCAACAAACTGGGTAAGAGGGCTAGTTCTGTCCTGGACTGCCCTATATACTCCGTAGAGGAGGTGGGTGAGATGAGGATCTTAGCCAAGCTGACGTCAATCACACATAACACCTCTCACCCCCTGCATTAGACTGAGGGGTCCCTGAGCAGCTCCTTCAGCAACAGACTACTGCACCCTCAGTGCAAGAAGGAGTACAGTGTGGAGCGCCACCGCAGGTCCTTCATCCAAACAGCTGTCAGACTCTATAACTCAGCAACCAGTGAGTAGCACTGTTTGTCTATGTAACTTCTGTCAACACTGATCACAGTCACTTTTTTTGCACTATTTAATACACTATTTGCACTATTAGTACTGTACTGTTTTTACACACACATATATAGAGAGAGATAGATAGATATAGATATATACCATTTCCTACCCGCACATTATTAGTATTAGACCAATACTGTATATTCATAGCCCTGTTTACAGCCTATATTTCCACTAATCTATACTACTATATATTATATATATATGTATATACATATATATTTATCCCAATGCTCTACCTCCTGCTAAATCACGTCTGTATAAAAAAAGCTGTACATAGTGTATATACAACTCTTACTATATTTTTTCTATTTTCATTATATCTTATATTTTTCTTTTTTTTTTTAATTTAATGTGTATTTTTCTTACCTGCTGTGTTGTATCTGGAGCTGCTGTAGCTAGTGAATTTCCCCAGTGTGGGATCAATAAAGTCTATCTTATCTTAACGCCTCTAATCTTATTAAAAACACCAAAGCAAACAACAACAAACAACAAATGGAGAGTAAAACACTACTTTCTTACCATGACTGTGACACTCAGCTCTAAGCCCTAAAACAGATGGTTTTTAGCAACATTAACTCAAATAGGAGTGCATCTGTTTGAAACTATTGTCTGCTGTGGATTAAACCACCCTTTAGACCCTAAGACTAGTTTTTCTTCCTTTTTTAATGGTAATGAAGGAACATCACCCAGTGAGACACTGTGGCACATTGATGTGTTTTTAATTGTTTTGGAGTTCTATGACGGACAGGAATAATCTTTGACATGTTAGTGAACAAGAATTATCATAATATTTGATCATTATACACTCTTCTTTTCCAGGAAACCATCTTTTCGGGTTATCTGAATTGTCAGACTATTGTTATTCATTTTCCCTGCAGGATATTGTACTGGAGGTTGATCTCCTGCTGTGGTCTTCGCAGGTCTGTGAGGAGTTTCACATGGGGACAGAAAACCCATTATGCAAGAAGGCAAAAATATAATTCCTAGAAGGTAGGTAGGTAGGTAGGTACCCACTGGATTTATTTATTGTGTGTATGTGTGTGTTTGTGTGTGTTAGCACACTCACAGCAGTCGAGAGTCTAGAGGCCAGAGTCATTTCCAGGTTCCCTTTCATGCCTAATACTGCAGGGACCAGGATGAAGATCTCCGTGATTTCCTGAAACACGTCCCAGTTCTGCCATGAAAACACACAGAAGGTGAAAAACAGAAGGTGAACCACAGACACACAATGAATGAATCATTTATATTTTCAAGGTGATAAAGTAAACACACCAACTTTGAAATTAAAATCAGTTTTGTTTGGTTTATTTTATAATTCCCGTGTTTCTCAATGCCAGTCCTTCTTTCAATCTGTCTCCACAACATTAAAAATTTCCTACATTGACTCTTCTGCTTTCTTTCCTCTCTTCAATTTTTAGAAAGAGAAGAAACGATGACCTCACATGGGTTCACAAGAACCCATGGTGACACATGCGGGTCGTTCCTAAATCGGAAGGTTGTGGGTTCGATCCCCAGCCCCTGGTGCCACATGTCGAAGTTGACCGATGCCATGCATCGGTGTATGAATGTTAGTTTCTGTTCGATGGACTTTACCATCACTGAGTGAATGTGTGTGAAAGGGTGAATGTGGCATGTAGTGTAAAAGCGCTTTGAGTGGTCGGAAGACTAGAAAGGCGCTATACAAGTACAGGTCCATTTACCATTTACGTGTGTCACAAACACTTTAAATGACCTTGAATCTTTCATAAGACCTTAACCTTAATACCTTAACTCATTAAGTTCCTAAGTGACATATACAAAACATCCTGGTGTGGTGGTTTTATGACTGTGACAGGAAGGGACAGAAATAAAGGAAGTAGCTAAATTCAAAAAGCTTGTTTTTTTGTTAATAAGGCAAGTTTAAACCTATTTAACAATTCTAGTCCCTTAATAGTATGTCCTGTATTGTCTGTATTTCATTTAACCTGTTCTGACCATATTTCCTGAACAAAATAATATAAAACAATAATAATTATTAGTAATAGGCCACTTAATTAATTTCACTGTTTCAGTTATTTAGGATTATTATATACCCTGTATATTTAAAGAAATATAAACAAAAAATAATGTCAAATTATTTAGGTATTAATAAAATATTTATTTACCATAAACACCCATTGTGACTTATATGTCACAAAGCAAATATGTTCTATGAGTTCCACTTGTTCTGCGGTATATCCCCCATAATTTTCCTTCAAGGAGTAATGGGTCTGGGTTCCTATGGGTTAAGAGCTCATCTAAACTCTAAACCACGTCTTTGTCCTCCTCGGCTTTCCTTTGTTTCCTCACCTGAACCACTTCGAGCAGCATCCCGGCAGAGACTGTACCGAACCCGGCCAGCAGAAATGGCACCAGTATCTGAATCACTATGGAGCAGACTGTCTCAGCTGGTGCGCCGGAGCCATCTGCATCCTTTGCTCTCATGGATCCACTGAACCTTGACGCTCTGTACAGTTTATTTGGGAGCAAAAAGTCTGTCTCAGTGTATTCCTGTGGCTCATGGGGACTGGTGTTGACTGGTGAAATATTCCCATTAGAGCTAAAATGTTGTGGGCCTCCAGATTGTTGATATGAGGACGGATTGGATCTGTACTGTTGGCTGGTGCCTCTGTCCACAGAACCACTTGCAGGCAGTTGCTCATCTTGTGACTTTGGGACAACCATTGTGTAAAGTTGGGTTCTGGCAGGATGTTATTCCTGCTGCTCCAGCTCCTGAGAAACAGTGCAGTAATAAGAAAATAAGCATCTGATAATGAGTCCCAGTTGTGTGGTTGAAAACTAAAACAACAACAATTTCCCCATCTGGAGGCTGTTTTATGCAGCAGTACGCAATAAAGACTTGCTGATGCATAACAGTAACAATACTAATAAAAAAGTAAAGCCAAAAGCTAAGCAACAACATTTAGTTAAGTTTTGTATCACATAAACAAATACTGTGATATGACTTATTTCACCTCCATGAAAAATCAAGCGTGCAACTTTGGCATGTAGAAAGCTTGACCGTTGAATGAGGCTGTTTCAGAGTCATCTGACAGCACAGATTGCCTGCATTATCATTCTTCATGCCTGATTCCCATCTGCAACACTGAGGCTGTGTTGTCTGACAGAGACAATGCACTTCATTTGAAATTCTTAAGAGATGACCAGGTACCAAATAGCTGAAGTCATCGAGTTGCAAGCAAGGAATTGTCCAAAATGTATAACTGTTTTTAATATAATCTTCAAAAACTGGCATAGCAATACTTGGTGTTTATAATTCAATAACCTGCTTTATACTATTGAAAAAAACAATCTACAGTTTGACAGTTAAGAAACTAAAACTTTGATGGATATATACATGCATTACCATGTTAAATTTCCATAGTTATGATAAATCAAACAACTTATACCCAAGAAATGGTCAGAAAAGTTACAAGCACATTGCTGTTGTGAGCCAAAAACTTGCTAAATGATTCAAATATATGTAATATTATCTATAAGGAGACCTATACTGTTGAACCCATCTTAAGGAAAGCGCAGAGCATCAGACATCACAACACTGTATAATATAAAGGACTCCTGCAGCCAGGCTCTTCTTTAAGAGCAGATGAGGACAAAAGTGAGAGAAAGTTTTAATTATCGTATCAAATTAATTTGCAGTGCTGAGTTTCTCTTTGGGTCTCTCTCTAGCTCTGTTCACACACATACTGCTATGATCTATGTGTCAATATGTACAAAGATATATATATTTGATTTGACTGTCTAAGCAACATTTGGTCTACCATCAGGAGTAGAATAGCAGAATAAACAAGTTTCTTACCCTTAGGAAGAAGAGGCATCTATTCTCACACTCCACCGCTAAGCGTGACTCTTCCTCATGGCTTCTGTCCTCCTCTGAATGGTGTGCTGAGTCTCCAGTGTGACATTAACCTACCCCCTTAAACATGCACACACACGACATAACTCTCACTCTCTCACCACTTCTATCATATACAGAGCATGCATTTTTAAATACAGCGACAGCCTATACAGCCTGTATAAGACAGACGGCTGACATATGCAGGGTTGGGAGGGTTACTTTAAAAATGTAATGTAATAATTACTAAGTATCACGATATTAAAGTAACCTAACTTAATTACTTTCTGTTATTTTTGGATTACCTCAACTCCAGATATGTTAATAAAAACAAGAGAAAAGAAATATAAATAATAATCAGTCAGTGTATTTTTAAAGAAAAAACGCAGAAAAACCCAATTTTTACAAAATGTAACTGTAATCTGATAAAGTTTTAATGGATTACACTTTTCTATCCTAATTACAGAACTCAGTTACATGTAATCCATTACTCCCCAAGCTTGAACATATGACATATACTGCAGTAGTAGGCCTTTTTTTTTTTTACAAATATAAAAAGTGAACCAAGAAAAACATTACAGGACAAAACCAACCATATAATAATATTCAATCTATCTATCTATCTATCTATCTATCTATCTATCTATCTATCTATCTATCTATCTATCTATCTATCTATCTATCTATCTATCTATCTATCTATCTATCTATCTATCTATCTCTCTCTCTCTCTAACCAGCCAGCCTTCTCTTCTGAACTCCATTTCCCATGAGCACTAGCGGCCATTCACAAAATCATGAGACCCATCATGGGACCGTGTCGCCTCACCTTCTAACAGCGGTGTTTTGGGTCACCTATGCGGTCACTATGGCAGTGGAAACGATGGCACATGACTGGGAGTTTGATCGTTTCGACGACGGTTCACAGAGTAAGTTCATTATCTAACGTTACTCATCAAAACATGGCGACGTGCTAAAGTTAACTAACATTACATTAGCCTTCAGTGCTAGCTTCCGCTGCTAGCCACCAACCGGGGGGGGCGTCTATTTGCTGACGCGGAACAACTCCTACCGTTGGTTGCAAACAAACACTCGTTAAATAGACACTTTTAAAAAGTATGTCGCTTATTATTTACTTGAATAAACCGTGCAGGGAGTCCAGGCCCGCTGTACTACAAAGAGTAACATCGCTGCATGAAGTGACAGCGACGTTATCTAACATTAGTCACCGCCTGCAGCCACACAGCTGATCGGTCTGACAGCTTAATGACACTTCAGTTCATAGTCAATAAATATATATGTATAAATAGCGTGCTGTAACACCGTCTTTATTTCCATTAAAGCAGACGAAGAGGGAGCACATGTGGTGGTAGTGTGTGTATTCAGAGCTCCTCTTGGGAATTAAAATGGGTTTGGATTTTTATTTTCTGCACATTTCTGGCTCCTAGAATTCATGTGCAGGCAATAAGACATACATGCACTCTTTATTTTCCACATTTGAGCTCAACATAATGTGGTTTGGTGATGATTGCTGCTAAACTCGCATTGGTGTTTACATCAGGCCTGCTGAAGTGTCCCTAATTAAACTCTCCACCCTACAGAAATACACACAGAGGTTCAGCTGAAGAACTACAGCAAGTTTCTGGAGGACTACACCTCCCAGCTGAGGGGTATCGAGGAGGCACTGGATGACTCCATTGGGGATGTGTGGGACTTTAATCTGGACCCCATCGCCCTGAAGGTGAAAACTACTGGCTGAACATTAATCTGAAAAAGACTGGCACTGTTTTTACACAGTTTAAACTTGTGTAATTTCCTTCTCTCTCTTCTCTCTTTCAGCTTCTCCCTTATGAGCAGTCGTCCATATTGGAGTTAATTAAAACAGAAAACAAGGTAAATAAAGACAGACACTGTAATTATTTATTTTTATGATTGTTGTTTGATAAAGACTTTTTATTTTGTGTGCAGGTGCTGAACAAAGTCATCACAGTTTATGCTGCTCTGTGTAGTGAAGTGAAGAAGCTCAAGTACGAGGTAAGCACGGTGTAAACAGCTCGCTCTATTGTGAGGTTTGTCCTTTTTTTTTTTAATCATATAGTCTCTCCTAAAGGTGTAAACAAATACAAGTTGACATTGTGTGTATTGTTGGGGTCTAACAAATGTGATGATTTAATTTCATTCCTCATAAAACATTTGCAAAGATGGCTAGCTTGCAATCCTTCCTGCCTTTGCTCGTGCATTGCTCCATAATATTTTGGTTTATTTATTTATTTATTTCTCTGGGACAGTGCATATTAATAAACATTGCCCCAAATAAATTAATTGATAATATTGGCACAAAGGATAATTTCCATCTTTAGTCTCTGGCCAGGTGTAAAATGTAGCACCCTGAAATCAGTGTAAAATCAAAACAATAATCATAATATAAGACATGTTATTACAGTAAAAGCAGAACACAGACGGATATAAACAGAAGACAGATATAGACGCCAATAAAAGCAGCGCGAATTCTGGTTCAATAATACCGCCACTTGTTGATCAGTGTCACGTCATTGGTAGGACTGTGTTTTGTGTCACCTGCTTGCATAGCACTCTACATTACTACTAATAAATGTTTCTTTTATGTGTCTCATAAACATGCTGGTGAGAGTTTCTTCTGTTTTTATGCCTTATGTTTTTAGGTTTCAATCTTTGTTATTTATTTGTTTTTATTTATTCTGTTATTTTTATGATATTTTATTGTAAATTATTTTTTTGCCTTGTCCAATTTTTTTTATGCGTTGTTTTAATTTGCTACATGAAGCACTTTGGGCTGCATGTTTGTCTGAAGGCTACTATATAAATAAAGTTGAGTTAAAACTACTGGAGGTCTAAAACCCCAAAGGGGAACCTTCTCTCCCCAGATGTTGATGATGTTTGTGTTTTTCTGAGAGGTGCAAACTCTGATTCTGTGGCTTGAATTTATCTTCACTTGCAGGCAGAAACGAAGTTCTACAATGGCTTAATGTACTATGGAGAGGGAGGTAATCTGTCAGCTATTCCTATTCATTCTTATTCTAGGTTTACCCTCTGTGATACGAAACGATTCTTAATAAATTGATACAAATAAGAGGTATATCTGCATTTGTGTTACAGTGTCTGACACCAGTGTTGTTGAAGGAGAGTCCCAGATTCAAATGGGCAGATTCATCTCATTCCTTCAGGTGGGTAATGAATCATTTCTGTCATAATCTGGTTTATTGAAGTCCAGAAAACACTGATTGTTTCTCTCCTCCTCCTCTCTTTGTCCTTTTATAGGAACTTTCCTGTTTTGTGTCAAGATGTTATGAGGTGGTGGTCAACATTGTTCATCAGCTGGCTGCCCTCTACAACAGCAACAAGTAAGATCCATCAACTGAAGCAAGTAATGTTACACAGTGAATGTACTGGTTTCATTGGATGAGCACCTGTGTCAGGATGTAGTGTATTGTGTAGTAACCTTTTTCTATTAATTTACTATCTTTGTGTCATGTTGACAGACACACAGACTGGTAGTTCTCTCTGTAGAGGCCCAGCTATGTGTTAATGTTAGTTAATCATACCATCAATTGCAGATCAACTTTTTATCTCGTGGTCCATCAGCCCACAGTGTCAAACGAGCAATTATGCACCTCAGATTCAGACAAAACAACAACGTACAGACCGCATTTCTGATACTAGGTGCATGTTTTTCTCCTCTCATTTCTTAGAGGTGCAACAAAAATCATTGAGTCGTCAGGTGTCCATTTCCAGGTAGGTTTTTAAGATTTCATTCTTTTTTTGTATGTCTTGAGTCTGTACTCTCTATTACTCTAAATGTTTCTTTCTGTTTTGCTTTCCATCTGCAGGTCGTGTACGAACACCTCGGCGAGTTGTTAGTGGTTCTGCTCACACTCGACGAGATAATGGAAAATCACGGCACGCTGAAAGATCACTGGAAGATGTATAAAAGGTTAACGCACACGACTATTGCAACCAATGACCTCAAAGGAAAATGAATGAATGAATAAGCAAACAGACAAAGATGTCAGTAATATGAATTAAAATGCATCCCAATTACTCCTATTTTACAAAATTTTATTCAAGTATGACATGTTTTAAAAGGCATACAAAGCAGGATTTTCAATTGTGTTTTCTTTGTAACAACACCATTCAAACCAAAGAGAGCACCTTTGATGAAGCTACATAAAGACAGTGGGACTTTAGCAAGAACAAAGCATTATGTCAGAGAAATTAAACATTGTTTTCTGATTGTTTTGTTTTGTTCTGGTACTTTCTAATGCACAAATAACCTTTACCTTAACTAAAATATATGAAGATTCATTTGATCTAGAAAGCATAGCTAATTTGGTCTTTTTAAACCATATAGTAGTTTATGCTATAGAGCGTCTATACAGGCTATTGTCTCTCTCCAACAGTATCCTCTGCTTGTAGGTTGTTGAAATCTGTGCACCATAACCCTGGGAAATTTTCCATTCCTGAAGAGAAGCTGAAACCATTTGAGAAGCTTCTGCTCAAGCTTGAGGGACAGCTGCTGGATGGCATGATACTGCAGGTGACTTAATTTCATTCAGACTTTTATTACGTTGTAGAATTTCCTGAGGTTCAGATTTTTGCTGAAAAGTCATAGTTTTGTCCTAATGTACAAACAGAGATCAACATTCATGACTGTAAGCATGGGTCACTTTGGACTACATATCCTCTGAACACGATTAACCTCACAACTGTGTGACAGGCCTGTGTGGAGCAGAGATTCGATGATCCCGGGGAGGGAGTAGCTGTTGCCAAAAACAGTGCCTTTGCCGAGGAGTTCGCCTTCAACATTCGCACCATATTCACCAATGTTGAGTCCAAAATTGGTCAGTTTCTCCTCTCAGGATAGACTGTTTTCACTTGTTAAGACTATTTCCTGCAGCTTTAAAGTGACGGTGTTCTGTATTAATTTCAGGTGAACCCTCAGAGATTGACCAGAGAGATAAATACGCTGGCGTCTGTGGTCTCTTTGTGCTTCACTTTCACATCTTCAGGAGTGTCGACAAAAAGTTCTACAAAGCAGTGCTCGATGTCTGTAAAAAG